ATATATATAAAATATAGAGAGAGATTTTAAATATAAAAAATGGGGTAATGTACAGGCCCTGCAGGCACCCTATCAAACCTTTGTAGGGTGTCCAATGGCTTGTAAATCCTTTGGCATATTTACCATTCCAAATGGTAGACACTTACCTATAAATGTAAATAAATGAATGTAGTTTTAGCTATTTTAGATTAAATCCCCCTTCATTAGGGAAACAAACGTCATATGCCCTCTAGTTTACTATTACTACTCAGAGTTTTGGCACACCACTTCAGACAGCACTTACTGTTAATTTCATTTTCATCATAGAGTCATTTAAGTTAATTAACATGGTTTGATAAAAGCAAAAGAAAATAACTGCAATAGGGAAATGCAATAAAACAATAGCACATATATTACTCAATATCTTTTTATGCGGTTTCCTTGTTAGTCACATGGGTAAACCATGTGTCAGTGAAGGATTTGCTGCATTAAGTAACTGATTGAGAGTGAGATCTTCATATAACATTACCCTCCCCTAAATTGTTTTTGCCAGTTGTTTTTTTTTTAATACGTTTTCTGCCTAACCTAATTTAACCTCAACCCCACCCATCTTATTGAATCACTTTTTTCAGCTGCAGCTGAAATATTTTCAACCTAATTTATGATCTTCAATATTGATGCAAAATAAGCTGTGACATAGTATCTCATCTACTATTAATCATGTACAAGTGTATTTATGTCCTCAGAAAAGGTTTTAATGCTAAATTTCTATGGGACTAACTGTGGTAGATGTGCATGCAACTGCATGCATATACAGTGTATATAGAAAAGATTCACCCCCTTTAAAATAATCACATTTTGTTGCTTTGCAGCCTGAAATGGACACATTTTTTGTTTTATCCAACTGTACTGACTCAGTGCAACTTATAACATCCAAGTGAAAGATATATATATATATACAGTGGGTACGGAAAGTATTCAGACCCCCTTAAATTTTTAGTTAATTAACATGGTTTGATAAAAGCAAAAGAAAATAACTGCAATAGGGAAATGCAATAAAACAATAGCACATATATTACTCAATATCTTTTTATGCTTCTCTCTCTCTCTGTCTCTCTCTCTCTCTCTATGCGTGTTTAACTACTTCACCGTGTTCCTGAACACGCCCACTTAAAGTGTCATTGGAGACATCTGCATACGACTGTTATTGATTCAGTGCCGTCAGACCACTGAAGTACACTGTCTGTCTCTCGCCACATCTGCATCTGACCTCTCTCAGTCATGGGGCTTTACCACATAGAGTTTGAGAAGGCTGGCCAGCGCTCCGGTCTACAGATCTGGAGAATTGAAAAGATGGAACTGGTCCCTGTGCCTGAAAACTTACACGGGAGCTTCTATATAGGTGATGCCTACCTGGTGCTCCACACTATCAGACAGAAGAACTCGTGCTTCTATCATCT